GTATCTTCATCTATGATAAGAAAACAACACTTGTATTAACTTACTAAGTGAGGATACGCGAAATAATAGAAGCCAGAAGATACACCGCGTCCTTGTACCCGTTCCGTAAATACGGGTATAATCGAGAGTTTTAGATTCATACGTCAAATTGGCTTTTAAGCTTTGTCTCAAAATTTCAAACAAACGTAAAAACGCTTCGAAAGGAATAGTGATGCGCTTATGCACGGAAAAGTGATCTATTTTATACACAATCGCGAAAGAACGCAGCGTTAATACAGAAAAACAGTGATCACGTGATCATCAGTTTCGACGATTGGCGTTCGCCGTAAACTCGTATCTAAAACTCTCTATTGACTCTTAACATCGGACAATCAGATACGTTACCGGGTACACAGATAATGACATTATCACACCTGCCAAACCATGGACATGTTTTGTATAAATTGCTTTTTGTATAAACTTATCACCTACCCGTACAAGAAGACCGAAACGAAGTATCTTATGGTCTCTAATACAGGACAAAAGCCCCGATTTTCAAATTTTCAACTTCGCAAAGTAAAACATTATCAAATACAATATTGTTTTTGATTAAATACATATATCATCTGAGAATAAACAGTTTATAAAATACAAAACAGTAACACCCTCAATCATATTCTGGCTATAAGGCATTGCAGGTACAAGACTACTCTTTACCTTCATGACTGTCAATAGAATTCACTAGAACTTCATTGAAAACKAACTTCTTTCCATCGACTGATTCTGAAATAAAATATGCCAAAAATTGATGAGAAATACAATCTTTTTATTGATTTGTTTAAATAAATGCTTACCAGTCCATGCCAATAAAGTTTCCCTTCTTTTTTTCACAAGATTGTTGACYTCTACGATTTTGTCTGTTTGAAAAAAGGTGATTGGAGAGAAATGGGTGAGTGTCGTCATATATTTCTTTTATTCCACTGTTCCTTTATTTATTCATTTTTCATTCACTTTTTCATTAATTCTTAAATTGACTTATACCTCTATTTATGAATTTATACTAGAATGATGGGCCTAATATGGGTCCAGTAATCATGAAGCAACAGATTTCAAGAAAATATTGATACAAATCCTTAATAATTTGGGCAAAAAATGTTGGAGTAGATGATGTCATTTTCTCCATCCTTTTCTTCTTCCATCTTTTGAATCAAAATTTCTCTGATGCAGGACAATTCCAAAACAAATATTTTTCCACAATTGTTTTAAATAGATATAAATGAGTCATATATTTGTATTGCTTGAAGTTTTGAAATAAGGGCATTTTCATGAGTAGCACTTTAAAATTATGCATCGCTTCCCCAGAGCCTCGTATGCGAATTCTTTTGTACATAGTTGCTCAAATAAAATATCTTAAGTCGGCTATTCAATCATCTACCATCTAATTTATCTATTTGATCATTTATTCGTTCATTTTCACATTCATTAATCATATCATACAAACATTTTACACTCTAGTGTTGGCGGAGTAGGGATGGAAGTAGTGGGCGGAGTGGAACTGGAAATAAATGTTTCTCTTTTTTCCTTTTTCCCTCTTTTTCCTTTTTTTTTTTTAATTTCACTCGTTTTCAGCCAAACCGTCTCCCCTTTCTTGTCCCTACTTCACTTTTCTTGAGCTGTCAAACAAATTAACCAAACAAAAACCAAAATAATRAGACAAACCTAAAAGACTTTGTAGTCGAGACGTATTCAGCAGAGATTCYTTGCTTGAGCTTGGTGTTAATTCATTCACTGCACAGAAACAAATTGTATATGTCAAATTTTACGAGAAAAATATTCTGCAGATATTTACAGTTATTAAATCTGTGTAATAATGATTGAGTATTTGATATAGAGTACAAAATTATAATTGAAAGTGAAGCAATGTAATTACATTCTCCGTTTTCTTCATCCTCGTCGTCCATACCATCAGTAAAGGTAATCTGGTCAACAGCTTGTAGATGATAACCCATAACTTGCTCTACGATCATATAGAAAAGCACAAATTAGAGTGACGTCTAAAAACCTGTGATATTAAGGCCGATTTAGATGGCACAATTTTTGCCTACAACCATTGCATGCAATCTGCTTAAGTCATCCTTACAACATGGCTACAACTGTCGTGCGGCTATTAAGCAATTGTTTTTAAAACAACAGTTTTTTTAAAACGACAGTTGTAGCAATGTTGTAAGGACGACTTATGCAGGTTGCATGCGATGGTTGTAGGCAAAAGTTGTGTCGTCTAAATCGGCCTTTACACGGCTAMGCTCTATTGCCTTATCTTCTTTTTTTCAGACATTTGACTATCACATKTCAATACTCAAATTGTGTTTCACAGCTTTGAAGGCCTCACTCTATATTCTTTCCATAGGTCCTATTGGCTAAGGCAGCCTTTAAATGTTTTATGATGATTCATGTCCTTCACACTCTTTCTTAAATAACCATGAATGCAAGGCTTCCTCACCTTCTAGTTTACTTATCATTGATTTGTCCTCCTCTACTTCATGCTGTGCTTTGGATAATTTATCTACATTGTACAAACAKACAGAATAGATATGAATACAATCACATTGTGTACAAAACAAGGACGGGAAAAGTCAGGCCTCAGTTTATGTTTCTAAATTCCTAAAATAATAAAATATTTTTTTACACCTAACCATTACTACCCTTACCATTCAAACTAGCGACCTCTTCTCTGCTTCCCTTCAATAACGCTTGTGTTTCTATTAATTGTTCTGCAATAAATAAATAAAATTAATAGAGTGAAGTAATTAAAACCAGTGTAACCGAAATTTGTCAAATGGACACATAATAAAACAATGTCATTTGATCGTACTAAGGTGTATTAGTATAAACATACTAATGGTCTATCACTCATACTGTGCTGTGATTGGCTACTCTACTAATGGTCTAATTTGTGATAGACCACTCGCGGGAAAATCAAAATAAATAAATTGTAAATTATAAATTATTTTAAGGATATTTCAATTTGTTTTCATTATTTGACCGATTAGTATGTTTATACTAAAACAATTAGACCTCTCGGCCTCGTGGACTACGAGCTAATAGCCCATTCGGCCTCGCGGACTCGGCCTCATGGGCTATTAGCTCGTAGTCCACTCGACCTCGAGGTCTAATTGTTAATTAGAGTGTATTTAACACTAAATAATTRATATTATAATATTCAAGATTAATCCTTGATTTAATAAATAAAAACCTAAAATACTTTATGTAACCCAAGCTGTCAGCTTTTGTCCATTATTTTTTACTTACTTTTTAAAGGTTTTTTTTTGCTTTGCATTTTGAAATAGACTGTACCTTTTAGACTCTTGACATATTCTTCCTTGTCAGTCACTTCTGTTTCAAGAATTTGGACCTGGGCTGTTAACAATTTGAGAAAGTATTRAATACAAATCCATCTATTCAATTTGCTATTACACAGTGTCCTCTATGTGAAAGTCCATGGTTAAGCGCCATTWACACRAGCAATTTTKCCTTGACAAGTTTCTTGACAAGGAAAAATTGTCCGTGTAAATGGTCAACAAGTTTTCCTCAACAATTCTTCCTTGACAATGTTTCTTTGCTCATGTAAACGAAGAACAAGTTTTCCTTGACAAGGAAAAATTGCCCGTGTGAATGGTCAACAAGTTTTACTTGACAATTTTTCCTTGCCACATTTTCCTTGTTGTCCATTTACATGAGCAAATTTCGTCCTAATTGACAATTTTTCCTTGTCAAGGAAAAGCGAACATGTTAGCTTTTCCTTGACAAGGAAAAATTGCTCGTGTAAACGGCGCTTTAGAGACAAGAACAGTAAAAAAAATTAAAAAAATAAGTTTGTTCTACAGCTGGATATTCAAAATATAAAAGTGTAACACTCTGGAATGCAACTCGTACAATCTACCTTGGGACATAAATGTTGTCAATTTCACATGCTCAGGGAATTTCTCACTCGAATCATAGAAAAAACCTTCCTTATGCCCCTCTTTGAGTCATCAAATCACAAGAAAAAGGAAGAAAATTACAGCTGATATTTACCTTGCATTATTGTCAGATCACCTGGACTTGTCTGRTGATTAGTGTCGTTGGTTAATACAGCTGGGATATCTGCAATAATYAATAATATTATTATCATAATAATTCAATAAAATATATTATGATAAATAATAGCAAAAAAATGCTTAGACAACGTTTTGCCGAAACTATTCTCTATTGCTTATTATAAAATGTTTATCTAAAAACGTTAYAATTTRTATAATTAAATAATAATCAATTAACCTTAACAGCCCTTCCATAAGTTCTAAAACATTTTCAGTAGTAATCCAGGAATATAGAAAACTTCATTGTGACAAGGTGAAAGAGTGTACTTTCAAGGAAATAACATTAACAAATGGTCTGTGAATAGACGATTTTCAAATTTCCCCTCAGTAGTCAAACATAAAAGAATCAAGACGAGGAGTTGTGCCTAAAGCTCAGTCAGTTGTGAAAAACTATTGTCTTGTTATAAATGACTATTTATGCACGGCTCCTTGTCTTGATTCCTTTGTGTGTGACTACTGAGGCAAAATTCGCAAGTTGGCTATCAAACACAAAACCTTGCTCACAATAGTATTGAATTACAAAATCCCCCCTCCCCCTTTATTCAAGGATAATTATTACCTTCAAATAGTGACGTCTGTCCGTCACCTAGTTGGATTCCCTGTCTCGGTGTGAAGTCCACGGATTTATCAATTGTTTCGTCAGTGTCTGTAAATTAAAAATGTATTGATAGTAATGCTCCTTCAACTCATGTCAAACTTGCTTGTAGTTAGATGTATTTATTATACTCATATATTATTTTTTCATATAAGAAAAGGAAGTGTCTTCAAATATCTATTTGGATTTTGTTTCCATCAGTAAGTTTTAAAGGCCTAGTGTGCACCATTATGCTATGGGGGCCGCAAGGGCCTAGAGGCGGCCATTTTCAGCTTACAGAAGGTCTATAAATGCATGCAAATATACTTTGTTGTTGTTAATGGATTAACTGTATGTATTTTACTCTCGAGCATATATTTCTTAAAATATATAATTGCGGCCATTATGAATTGAACGTTTACTACAAAAATAAAACTAGAAAACAATAAGAATAAATTAATAGTTCTGAACACAAGTAACACAATCTAAAGTTTACAAGAAAGTGAGTGACTGAGTGAGTGAGTGACAGATTCTTCACCCTTCAATAACACTTCGATTGCTTCACAATTTTCGAGTTAAAAACTATAAGTACAGGATTAAGTTATTCACTCAATAAGTTTCTCAAAGGATTTTATCTGTTGGATAAGGATTTATCCAATGGATAAAGTTATTCAKCCTTTATACAACCCCTGGAGTATCAATACAAGTTTTATAATTAACAATAATATTGAACTACTGTGCTCACCTAGGAAGCAACCTCAGACAAAATAACTTTATATTTTTTTACTCGAATTACATTATAGAAAACAATTATTTTTAAAGATACTCCCTAAATATTATCATCAACAGTTTCAAACAGTAAAGTAAATTAATTTATATCCAATGTAGAAGAATTAAAAAAAAAATTAAAAAGGTTTTAAAACTAGAAAAATTAGAAAAGGAAGTAAACATTTCCAAGTACCAGCCAAGAACCTGCTGAGAAATCCGTACATCCTTCAAAATAAATTAGTCATATCAAAACACTTCAAAAAGTAAGCTTGTTTTTCTTACTAGCTTTTTAAAGAAGATTATTTCAATGACTGAAAATATTAATAAGYGTATTTCTATCTATTTTAAGAGTGTAAAGTTGTGGTTATTCCTTGTAAAACCACAAAAACCACAGAAAATGTTAACAAAATCCAAATAAATAAGGGGAAAAAATATTTTTTTTGGCATTGAGAAGTCAAATTATGCCAACAGAYRWGGAAAAGCATCTGAATGGTTATTTGAATAATTACAAAGCTTACGAAATGTTATAAATTGCTTATTCAATAATGCTAGATGGGGTATGTCAGCTTGATATAAAAAGTCCAGTAAAYGTTGGTTATCATTAGTTCAATGTAAAGCTTTAAAAGATAGATCCTATTCTTGAAATCCCCTCTTTCATGAGGAACAAAAAATGAAATAAAGGAATTAAATGAGTAATTAAATATTTTTACATATAATATTACCAAAAAAAAATATATAAATTATCCTAAAGAATCTATAATGCAATTTCAAAATAAGCTAAGTTTTTTTTAACTAAATATTCAAAACTCCAGGCAAAAATATATGAATATGATTCAATGCTTGCCATGTAAAATGTAAAAAAATAATAATCATCTCTGATTAAAATACAAAAATTATTTTTACAGAAAAATTGAAATTGGATTGAAACTAAGGCCTGCTAATTTGGCAATTTTTCGTAGCATTCAAAAAGCACAGAGTGTAGAGTTTTTAAAAAACCATTCAAGAAATTCTCAAAGTAACCAGTTAAGTTATCTAAAAAAGTGTGCAATCACTCTTACCAGATAAAAACACAAAACAAAATGAGTACATCACGGAAGAAGAACCAGGAGAAGCCTCCATGATATTTTGATATGATAGAAGCTCCATTTTACCACAAGATAGCAAWGTCTAGCATGTACTTCTGTACRAAAACATAGTGATTTTGTGATGATTTCCTATCCTGGCTRTAAGCCATAWATGTTGTSTCTCTTGTTTTTATTCTGTGGTCAGTTAATATGGCTCTAGACTGTCAAAAATATGCTAATACCCAAGTTTGTTTTAGGTGGAGATGTTTTAAAATTCAAGTTAAAGTAATTATAGAGGTTTGCATATTATGAATATGCATATTAATATTCCTCTCATATCGTAAAACAGAWTTTAAAATACTATTCCTTTMAAAATTACATAATAATACRAACAAAACAAAATAATTTGCATRATTTAGYACAACTTAGCACTATTTAATTACTWACCTTTTAGTGATTMAATACAAATGATATACAATTGAAATAAAAATACAGTTATAATATAGTGATATATACGCACTTGAATTATATGAMAATTGAAGTTGAGATTTCACAAGAAAGTCATTAGACAAAATTGGATTTCTTGTTAACTCTCTCCTTGTTACAACAGTAATGCATTTCTTTCTAATTTAATAACTCAAATCCTCAATGTTCTTTTATTCTTGAAATTAGGTTTGCAAATAATTTCAGGTACATCACCTGGAAAATCTGGGAGCTTAAGAAAACTCAATCATATCATTCTGTTTCAATATTGTGGCACAATTTTAAATGAAAATGACAAAATTCCCATTGTTTTTGAAGGAAATTGAAGTCCCTGTTATAGGCTTTTAAACAAAAAAAAAAGACAATTATAGTATATAAACTTGTTGAGTAAATTTGTAATTTGTCAGATCCTAACACTTATGTTAGAGCCAGAATTTTCTCCTCAGAATGTGTACTCAATAAGAAACCACTTAAAATCAAATCATTTCAAAAACAAGAAGCTTATAACTCACCCAAGCGTGACGTTAGGTACAAAACCTTATTTCTAATGCATAAATTCAACAATTTTCAAACTTTATGCAACTTCATTTGCATTTTCATTTCTTAAAGAAAGTAGATTTAAGAAATATTGGATCTATGAACTGARAAAAGCTTGATATTTGATCCAAATTGTTTTTTGAAAACCTCAATAACACCATTAATAATAGTGACAGTATAATGTCATGACTTASTTGTGAAAATTTCCCATGACTAATAATTTATTTATTGATACAGTACAGTGAATTTATAATACTTTAAATTGTACAAAAAGTGCACAAAATTATACTTATTACATTAGATAATTTTGTACTAAATTGTACAATTTTGCTAGCAARCTAAATCACAAATATCTTTAGTGAATACAAGTTAAAATTCAATAATATCATGAGTTCAATTAATAATAAATGAATTAAAAGTGATACCTTCTTTCTTGGTAGGACTGTTAGCCTTATTGACACCTTCTCTCCGCTTGTCTAACTGGGCTAAAAGAAGAAAAGAAAAGTTTAATTGGAAATTTAATTTTGAAAATAGTATAATATCAAAGTTAGTTCCTCTAACATTGCTACTTGTAATGCTGTTAAAGCTTTGCAGCTACATGTAAATATTTTAACAACTTTCTCTATCTTAAAAAATTCATGTAGTTTTCCCAAAATAATAAAACATAGTTGTTAAATTCTTAGTTAAACCTACATATAATATATACTATATCAATGTGTCAATTAAAGGATATCTATCTTATAATAATCTAATGTTTTGTGATTTCTCTTGACATAAAATTGATACAAATGCCAATACTCTAATCTTCGTTATAGTTTTGCTATTTTGAGTTATTCTTTGTCAATCACAAATAATATCAATAAATGAATATTTTAAGCTCAAAACCTTGAAGCRATTCAAAAGTCTTCTTCACAATATTTGCTGCAAAATGTGAGGTTAAGCCTGATGTATGCTATGGTTAAGGTGAAGCAGTCCAATACTCATGTRACCATATATAGTAAGTCTACATGTAACTCAGTCATACTTCACAGGTTGACCAATGGGAGATCAGTTGTTATGAAGAAAAAAAAAACTATTTGACTGGTGTAATAAAACTTTTAATACATTCAATAATGAAGAATTTTGAATGTTTTTCAACTTAACGAGACATTGTCAGGTTAGTGATTTTACTAGACAAAACATTGCATACAATTTGCAAATGAAATGATGACTTTATGTTGTAATAGTGAAACATCTTACATTTAAAACATTATCAAAACATTATCAATTTCTTTCTTTTTTATCTACATCTGCTCTGCCTTTTATTTTTTCTTCTTTTCCATTTCTTYCTTTATGATTCTATCTTCGTCTTTTTGTTTGCTCATTTCCAATTTTTTCATTCCTTCTTCTCCCTTCCTACTTCTTTATTTCTATTTCCCTTTTCCCTTTCTTCTTTTTTTTGGTTACAATATCATATTATCTTGATAATCTCAGTTGTTATTACTACAGTAGCTGCTGTTGGCATTGTCTGTGGTGAGGGTGTTATTACTAGCGACGTTGAAAATTAGTTTTTCCGAATTTATTCCTAAGGGTCTTTCTCCCGGAATTGCCTCCTTCTAAGCACTATAACTTTCTTAGTTTCATTTCTATATCGTGTCTATCATAGTGCCATGCGGTCCTCATATTCATATCTTTACATTATTCTATTACTGCAACCTTAACATCTATTTCACCCCGACCTGCTCCCAGTCTGGCCTTGTAGCTCAGCTGGTAGAGCATCGGTAGTACAAATCCGACGATCGTGGGTTCGAATCCCAGCGAGGTCGGAAATTAATTTTTCTAGATTTATTCCTAAGGGTCTTAATACCAAAATTGCCTCCTTCTAAGCACTATAACTTTCTTTCTTTTTTTTTTCTTTTTTTTATTAATTAACTTTCTTTCATTTCTATATCTGTTAGTACTATTGTTGTTGCTGTTGTTGTTGCTGCTGCTGCTGATGTTTGTGTTGTTCCCATTGTTGTTTTTAGTGCTGTTGCTAACGTAAATGTTAATGTGGTGTTGCTATTTTTGGTTTTGTTGAGTCTGGTGTTTTTTTTTGTAATTGTTGCGGTTATTGTTACTGCTGCTGCAACTGTTGTTTTTAGTTCTAGTATTACTGTTGTTACTATAGAGGCCAATGTTATGGTAAGATTGTTTTTGATGTCAAGTGTTCTTGTTAATAATGCTGTACCTTTCATTGCTATCAGTTGTTGTTTGGCAAAATCACACTCCGCTTGAAGCGCCTCAGCCTGCATAACCAAAACAAAACAGTTTATTCCTAATTATTCCTAATATCTTTTTAATTTCAAGTGACAAACAAAACAAATGCTAATTATATTAGCAAAGTAACTAAAGGYTTTAAACATTAGTGATGTTATTTCTGTACTATCAGCTTTTATCAAGCCCTTTTATTTAACATGCATGCATTACATATTTGCCGCAATGTTTTATCATTGGACTCATACTGGTTACTGGATACTGAACTTGTAGMATTGTTGTGAWCAAAATATTACTCCATGTATMTCATCCTCTTGAATGTTTTAACTTTCCTTGGATTKAAAGTGGTWCTTAAACTGWCATGTGAAGCTTACGTACCCTGGCAGAGAAGGCYGCCTCTTTTTCCTTGGCCTCCAYCATGTTGGTCTCAAAGTCTTTTCTTTCTTTCGATGCCTGTTGAGTATCGWTTAGATCAACCACAGCAGAAGACTAGTGTTGAGCCAGACAGTTAGGAAAGGAAAGTTACAAGTTATTGGTTAGAGTTAGAGTTAAGAGTTAGCTATGAATAGGTCAGTACATTGCCATAAATTATCTTATCAAAGTGATTTCCGTGAAAATTTTGGAAAAGATAAAGGATAAGATTAGTAACTTATTGAGTTTTAAACTGAGACATCWGATTAATTACCATGAGAATTTTTGAGACGTAAAAAGGTGACTGCAGATCAAGGTCTAAATTCTCCTTCAAAATCCAAGTAATTCTCAGGAGAATATAGATATGACCATGGATGGCTTAATGCACTGACTATTTCTTGTTAATTATTGTTATATTAAAATTTAATCTATTTTTAATTTATAACCAAGAGCATTAGTACATTAAGTCATTAGTTTTAACCATAGCATTATAAGCTGCTAATATCTACACCTACACTTTTGAGGAAAAACCACAGAGAGTCCATAAATCTATAGGGAAAAGTACTGACAAATTCCAAATGTTTCTTCATTGTCAACTATTGGCATATTACCTGTTCATCTACAGCAGCATGTCGTTTCTCAGCTTTCTCTACTTGTTCCTGAAGAGACCTCATTTCCTCTTGTCTCTGTTATGATAGAGAAAATCTTAGGATCAAATAGATCGACAATGTTTTCTGGTTATGTAAGAAATGACCATTACTGTTCATATAGTGCAAGGTATAAGGTGTAATTTTTGGCACTGTTAACACACTTGGTGTCAAGCATATTGCCCGACACCACCACCACTAAAACAACAACAACAACAATAACAACAACACTACAACTAACAACAACACCACAACTAACAACTAACAACAACAACAACAACAACAACAACACAACTAACAACAACAACAACAATAATAATAATAATAACAACAACAACAGCACCACCACCACTAAAACAACAACTACAATAACAACAACAACAACAACTACTACTACAACAATAACAACAACTACTACAACAACAACAACAATTTATCCAGCTCAAAGATGCTTTATGTTTGACCGTTTTTAAATCCAGACACTGGAGCACTAACATGGAACATGGGCACATATATCCAGATATCTGGATGCATCTCGTCATTAAGCCTTGTATAGAGTTCCTGTTAAACACCTTTCAGAACAAGTACCAATGCCCAAGCACATGTACCCACCAAATGTAAACAACGGTCAAGATTTTGTTGTTGAGCACAATATCATTACATGTATTTCATATTGMTGAGCCATTACTGAATGATTGATGGCGTTTGATTGCCAAACATTAAATTYACTGCATTGGGTGTTGGTCATACTTACTTGTGAATGTCTGTCATTGAGTTCTCTCATCTCTATTTGTGATTTCTCATACAAGGTTTTGTAGTGAAGGCATTCATCTTCAGCAGAATTACAAGACCTCTGTGGRCAATTAAATACAAAATTTGTTACATGTATATAATTGCCGCCAGGCCTGAACTGTAATTGTAGTAACTTTATTTAATATATTGTGTATAATATTAACTAAAAATATTTCAAGCTTTTCYTGTATAAAGTCTATAGTGTACATAATTAACCATACATTTACCTCAGCTTCTGATAATTTTTGCACTGCTTCTAATTTTTCTTGTAGCATTCTTTTTAGTGACTCCTGTTATAAATTAATTCAGACAATTTAGAAACTGTACACAATGTTCTTTTGTGGGCATCATAAAAAGCTTAAAGCACTGCTACAGTATATCAATCTTTTGTTTTCAAAATTACTACTTTATTTTGTACAGTAGAGTGCAAATACATGTACTTAATGTGTGCAACATAAAAAGAATCAAGAAAATAGTGCTAAATCATAGGTCATTCTGCTTTTGAGCTTTTAATTATGTTATTGGCACTCTTTACCATAAAACAATGTTAAACATTCCACACTTTTAGTTGTACAATAAGCAATATGTTTATAGCTGCTTTGAAAACTTGAAAATGGAAATGCAGTTCACATTACAAATGTCAGGGCAAACAGTAATCAAAACATTCTTACCAAAACAGTACCTCCACAAGCAAATCAATATTGCATSTCATGGAAATACAACATGTAATTTTGTCTACTTTACCTTGGAACAGAGCAAGGAAATAATAGTTGCWTAATGCARAAGATCCCAGCAGGCTGCCGGTGATATAGTGAAGGTATTGTATTGGTATTTSTGTCATGTATATCAAATGCTTGTAATTGTTACATGATGGTATTGGTTACTCACCTTTGACCTCATCTCATAGTTATGCCTGTCTTCTTGTAGATTGATCAGCTTTCTTTTGATATCATCTTCACTCAAATTCTGTAAAGCAAAAAAGAATTGAAGGACAATTTTTAAACAAATAGACCACCTGTTAAAATGTATGTTCACATGCATTTGTTTGAGAGAGTTACTGAAGCTAAAACCCTACCCAAAACATAACCCAAGACCTTCATGTTATCACAATTAGATACATTGTTTCCAAGGTTRGGGTTAGCCTCCTCCCCAGAAACTCTTTTTTCCTCCTTTGGGCTTCCTTTGTAATGGTCATCTTGGGCCCCATTCTCCCTCTTTTG